TTTCTGTCCCCTAATTTCTGATTGTGGAGAAGATCTGGGCTACTTGTCAAGGATGTTCTTTTTGTACCTTATTTCTTACACAGCAGCATCTTCTCTAAGAAGGGTCCCAAAGGGTAAGGGGTTCAAGGGTAATTCATAGAGCTTTCTACATTTATACCTTAGATTTTCCCACCTTCACACCATTACTCAAGCAGTTCTTTCCAGCTTCACCCTTGTCACTCCTTCCCTATTTCTCACCATTATCACCTTCTAAAATCCTCCATATTCTTTAGGCCACTCCTTTTTGAGGCTCTTGATACTCCAGATGGAACCTATCGGTCTACCATCACCATTTGCTGAGTTGCAAGCAAGGCATCTCCTGTGACATGCTTCCATAAAAACAAGTTCTATTTACTTTACCTTCTAAACATGTCTCAAATCTTCCCACTTTTTCAGGAGTGAGTGTGTAGGCAGGGCCCACCATTTGCTAGAGTCTTCATTTGGAAAATGGTAGCCCTTGTGAGGACTACATGAGTTAATATATGAAAAGCTGCACTACAGCATCCACGCTGCAGCCTAAGACCTTAAACACTTCCATACTGCTTTTTGTGTTAACCCCTTTGTCTTACCACTCTTCCATATTCACTAGATTCCATCCATTGGCATTAGATCCTGGCACAATTATTTGGTCTTATTCATGCTCTTCTCTGAAATAATCTTTCTCATCCTCACTTTCTACGCAGTCTCCACCTTAATATTGGTTCTCCTGGAAAGTCTCTAACCACCTGTTGCCCACCACATCCTATGCCCTAATCTTATTATGTGAAGTCTTTCTTCCCCAGTAAAATATAAACTATCGACACATGTAAATCACTGTTTTTAAACATTTGTAGCCTGTAAATATTTGGATTTTTTTTTTTAAGGTTAAAAATCTGTTGCATAGGGCCGGCCCGGTGGTGCACTGGATAGTGTGCCGCTTGGGAAGCGCGGCGGCGCTCCCGCCCGAGGGTTCGGATCCCACATACAGACCGGTTCCCGCTCACTGGCTGAGCGAGGCGCAGGAGCAACACTGAGGGTTGCGATCCGTTGCCGGACACGGAAAAAGACAAAAAAAAAAAAAAAAAAATCTGTTGCATAAATGGATGTTTTTTACAGTAGCTATGTGTACTTTTTTTTTTTTAAAGATGACTGGTAAGGGGATCTTAACCCTTGACTTGGTGTTGTCAGCACGATGCTCTTCAAAGTGAGCTAACCGGCCATCCTCATATTGGGATCCGAACCCGTGGCCTTAGTGTTAACAGCACCACACTCTCCCAAGTAAGCCACGAGCCGGCCCTCTATGTGGTTTTTTTTTTTTTTTTTTGGACCGGTAAGGGGATTGCAACCCTCGGCATGGTGTGGTCTGCCCCATGCTCAGCCAGTGAGCGCACCAGCCATCCCTATATAGGATCCGAACCCGTGGCCTTGGCGCTACCAGCGCTGCACTCTCCTGAGTGAGCCATGGGGCCGGCCCTATGTGTACATTTTTAATATTCCCTTGGACTATAAGCTTCTTGAGAGTTAGGACCGTGTATTTTTTTTTTTTTTCTCTACAAGGCCTTATATATAGATAGATGTGACCAAATATATACTGAATGAATGAATAGAATCTAATAGGATCAGTACTCTGCTTCCTACCAAATCCCATTTTGAAACATGCTTTCAGATTTAAATATCTGGAGAGCCAAGACTAAAATTGACCAGCAGAGGGCAAACAACAACTATGTTGTGATAGGAAGAAGGATCCATGGTTTACAAAATGGAGGATCTGTACTGAGAAGAGGAAGCAGAGGTAGTTTGGTACTTGAAGATCATCCCTTTCAATCTCAAATGCTTTCCTTGTAACTTTTGGGGATGAGAGGACAAGGCTTCACACCTTCATATACAATAGATCATTTCAAATTTCTACCATCCCCGCGGCCCACCCCAACTCCCTGATTTCTTCATCCTTCCCCTTCCATCCCAACATATCCTATCTATCTATTTGTCTTTAAGTTGCATGATCTGTGCCCCCCCACTTCCCGCCATTCTTACATATTTACATTCCACCCCACTGGCATTCTTTAGATCCTGCTACAGTATTTGACCTTGCTCATCTTCTGTGAATTTACCTTCTTCACGTATGCTTGTAATCCTGCTCATTTCAACCTCCTAAGGAACCTTCCATAAATATCATTCTATAACACCTTCAAATTCTTCTCCAATGGATCAATTCTTCATTATGAATTCAGAACTCCACCTTCATGTGACACTTCCTAATCACATTGTTTTAAACTTTTTTCAAATGAAGTGTATACATTCCTGCCTCTAGCTCCATACTACCTTAATACTCTGTCATCTGGTTTCTGCCTCCTGAAGTTTTTTAGACATTAGTAGAAACCATCAGACAAATATAATAGTCTCTTCTCAATCTCCACTTGCTATGTTTGAAACCGCTGTTTTCTTACTGGCCTTCAGAGACACTGTACTATATTTTTCCTTCTTAGGACACTGTTCCTCCATTTCTTTTTTCTCCCTCCTGTGGAATTACTAGTTTGCGGCTGGCCAGTACAGGGATCCGAACCTGTGACCTTGGTGTTACTAGCAGCATGCTTTCCTAAATGAGCTAATTAATCAGCTCCACCACCTGGGGAATTCTAACAAAGCTTCATTCTTCTTCCTTCTAAGGAAGTGAGCTCAATTGGTTAGAGCACCACCTTGTTAATACCAAGGTCAAGGGTTCAGACCCCTGTACCATATAGCTGCCAAAACCAAAAATAAACAAAAAGAATAAAAAAATAAAAGTCCAAGGTCTCTACCATGCATTATAAAGGTCTTCCAAGAATTGGCTCCAAATTATTTCTAGTCTTATCTCCCATTACTTCCTTCAATAAACTCTGTGCTCTTGATTATACTAGTCTCTTCCTTCTTCAACATATCCTTCACCTTCACTTGCTTTTATCCACACTGTGATCTCGCAAACTCTAGTTTTCAGTTTTTGCCCACAAGTATTGTTTTGAAAATTTTGAGCCAACATTTAAAAGTTGTGAGATTTAGCATAAACATTAGGATGTCCAGAGCGTCTTGAAAAATCGTAAGATCTGGCAATACTGGATTTTTATTCTTGAAAGCAGCAACCAACCATAGCTGCACTGCCAATTGCCCCCTTCTCTCAGAGCATGTATGTCCCACCTAGCCACCTTTAAAGAAATCTCTCAACAATACAACTGTACAATGAAGAGATCAGATTAATGGTGGGACAATTAGGTATATCTCCTGATGTTTCAAAATATAAAGAACATCTCTCCTGTGATGTCTTCTATTCCCAGAACTATTTAACTTGAATCTCTCAAAACTCTAGATCTAATTTTGTTTAGTAAAATAGGGGCTAGAGGAATAAGTTAAAGGACAATGTGAAGCATCAGTCAAATCCAAAAGACCACTACCCAGGACAACTGGCCCAATCTCTTCAACAAATTAGTATTACACACAAAAAAGATTGTTCTAGGGATCCAGATAAAAAGTGTAAACAGGGGGCCGGCCCGGTGGCGCACTGCTACAGTGCGCCGCTTGGGAGTGCTGAGGCGCTCCTGCCCAGGGTTCGGATCCCACATACAGACCGGTTCCCGCTCACTGGCTGAGCGAGGGGCGGGCGCAGCACTGAGGGTTGCGATCCCATTGCCGGTCCTGGTCCGGTACGGGCACGACACTGAGGGTTGCGGTCCGTTGCCGGACACGACAAAAAGACAAAAAAAGACAAAAAAAAAAAAAAAAAAAGGGAAAAAAGAATTAAGAGATAACCTGATGTAATGATGGTCCTGGATTGGA